ATCTAGTTATATTATTTTCATTTTTTATCATTAAAACTATATTTTTAAATATATTTTATTTTAGTTATTTTAATAGATATCATACTAAGAAAACAGTTTAATACTGTTTGCAAGTCATTTTTAAAGATATTAGTCCTTCTGTATTAACATTGCTAAATTGTAATGCTGTGTGATCAGCAAACTTAGTGTTTTTATAACATAATTTTATTACATAAATCATTTATGTATATTATTAAAAGTATATCCAAGTACAAACTCTGCAGAATGCCATATTTTATTATACTTGCATTATTAAATTCATTTTTTGGTTTTAACAATCTGTGTTCTTATTTATAAATAAGATTGGAACAGTTTTACCGAATGCATCTTATCCTTACTTTCCATTTTTAACAACATTTGATGTGATGCAGTATTATTATGTATCTGCTCGTTTGATAATTTCCCGTAAACATTATTTCCGATTAAACTTCAGCGATACAAGTCCTTTCATAATTAAAACTAGTTTGTTCTTTCTCGTTATAAACTTTGCAATACACTTAATTTTCACACTCATTTTAACTTAAACACACGCTATAATAAACAACGATTCACGCACGGTCACTACCGCTCACTTGACTCAATTATCTGTCTCTATCTCTCTACCTGAAAATATTTGCCAGGCTTATATAATAAGATAGAGGGCGCCTGGAAAAGACTAGAGTTACCAGGAAAAGTCACGATCCTTCGAGAATCTCATGACGTGTTACCAGCGTCGCGTGACTTCCGCTGTCGTAACAGTATCTTCTCTAGATCTACAAATTTAATTCTTCTATAAATCTACATTGATTTTTAGAGACAAAAGGCAAACTTCTCTTTGTTTAAAAATCTTATAACCTGAGTTTTGCTATTTTGTCTAATATTTTAGAAAATTCAAATAACAATCTAATTTACATAATCAGTTCGATCACCTTGTTTGTATATCGGAATTACTATAGTCTTTTTTAACTCCTATGGAAAATTTTCTCTTGTTAAAGACAACTTGTAGATATATATACCATTGATTCTGTGATATAATTTATTCTCTTACTAAAATTTCATCCTATCCTGGAATTTTCTTATTTTTAACATAACATAACGTTTTTGGACGACATGGAACCTATTGGTCCATCTCGGCTGTTCCTCTAAACTAAATTATTAATAAATAAACTTAAGAAAATCTTAAAGCTAGCCCTTATCATTCATATGCTTATCAAGCTTTTTCTTAAACTCACTTAAATTTACTGCCTCCACAGCATCCAAAGGCAACCCATTCCAAAGACCAACCACCCTGTTAGAAAAATAAAACTGTCTTAGCTGAAGATGACTCACATTACAATAAAATAAGAGTATACCCTTACAACAAATTACATTATTACCAGAAATAACTACGTTGTTATAAACTTTATTACAAGCGCTAACAGATCAGACCAATTCATAAACCTGTGTTTAGATAACATTAATATCCCACTGTAAAACTGTGTTTATTAATTATATTGTCGCCACCATTAGTCCACACATAAATTGTATTCAATTAACCACATTATTACCAACAAAGTAACTACATTGTTATAAACAATGCCAGAACAGAACACCATGTAAAACTGTGTTTATTAATTATATTGTCGCCACCATTAGTCCACACATAAATTCTATTAAATTAACCACATTATTACCAACAAAGTAACTACATTGTTATAAACAATGCCAGAACAGAACATCATGTAAAACTGTGTTTATTAATTATATTGTCGCCACCATTAGTCCACACATAAATTGTATTAAATTAACCACATTATTACCAACAAAGTAACTACATTGTTTTAAACAATGCCAAAACAGAACACCCTGTAAAACTGTGTTTATTAATTATATTGTCGCCACCATTAGTCCCCACATAAATTGTATTAAATTAACCACATTATTACCAACAAAGTAACTACATTGTTATAAACAATGCCAGAACAGAACACCATGTAAAACTGTGTTTATTAAATATATTGTCGCCACCATTAGTCCACACATAAATTGTATTCAATTAACCACATTATTACCAACAAAGTAACTACATTGTTATAAACAATGCCAGAACACCTTGTAAAACTATGGTTAAAATTGTTCTTTATTTAATAAACACTAAAAAAAAACAACTGGAAATGACATACCACTAAATGTTACCTTAAAAATTCTTTAATATAACATTTAGACGAGTTATTTTTTCATTTCTGTATATGAATAATTTGTGTAATACACAGTGAAGTAACAAGACTTTCTCTTTATTTCTACTTTAATATTAACTGTGTAATACATAGTGAAGTAATAAGACTTTCTCTTTATTTCTACTTTAATATTACCCGTGCTTTACACAGTGAAGTAATGACTTTCTCTTTATTTCTAATTAATATTACCTGTGTTATACACAGCGAAGTAATAAAACTTTTGCTTTATTTCTACTTTAATATTAACTCTGTAATACACAGTGAAGTAATGATTTTCTCTTTATTTCTACTTTAATATTAACTCTGTAATACACAGTGAAGTAATAAGACTTTCTCTTTATTTCTACTTTAATATTAACTCT